TCTCCTCTGTAACCTAAGAAATTATGAAATTTTTGCTTATTTCTGTCAGATAATAAATAACATAGTACTCTTTCTACATTTGGAGACCTAGAGAAAATATCTTTGGTTTCATTTTGAAATTCCTTAGAATTTTATAGACCCTCTGAAGATGATAAACTATAAACAAAATAAATTTAAATTTGAAAGAAAATGCATGAGACATCTTGAATAGTATTTATTCATTTACAGTTCTCATTATTTGTAGATTTTGTATTAGTGAACTTGCCTACTCATTAATTTTTTTTTATCTCCCAAATCAATTCTCATGGCACTTTTCCGCTCATCCTTGGACATTTGCCAAGCTGCAAAAACTTTGCATCCATGGAGGCACACATTCCCAGTTAAGTTTGAATAAGGCAATGCTCTGCCTTCTTGTTTCAGTTTTCATGTTGTAAACGAGTCTTTTTCGTGGTCTATTTAGTGCTATATTTTTCACATTTGCTCTGTTTGTTGATGATTTTTTTAATTTAAAATGGCCCCCAAGTGTAATGCTGAAGAGAGCTATCTAGTGTTCCTAAGTTTAAGAAGGCTATGATGGTGCTTTACAGAGAAAATACCCGTTAGATAAGCTTCTTTCAGAACTGGCGAGTTGTATGTTAATGAATCAACAGAAGCGCACATAAAACAAGGTTATGTATTGATCAGTTAGCAAAAATGTTGTGTCCAGAGGCTCACAGCAACCTAACCCTATATTTCTGCTAGGAGCAATGGGTCAATATTTGCTAGTTCAGTATTTGCAGTGATTTTATAGAACTATAATAATTGACTTTTGTTTTATTTGTACATGAAATAGAATATTTATGTTATTATAAGAGTAAGTATTGATTTCCAAGAAATAATCTATTTTCCACAATCTGTTTTGAGTGAGCAAATAATCAGCAATTATTTCATCACAAATCCATATTTACACCAAATATTTATTTTAAATACAAAAACTTCTTTTCTTCTTTTCATGTTTTTTAATCAGTTTGAAACTCTGCCTATTCAGTGATTCCACTATGCAGCTTAATTTTTTTCACCAAATAATTGACACAAATGACATGTTTTAAGAGTTTGAAAGCATGCAAGAATCCAGCATGAAACTATCATATTTTATATCTCTTTTAAAGCCAAATGTTGAAACTTACTAAAGATAACACAAGAACCTGTTTCATTCCATTTCTATTGGGACTATCTTAAGGCACGCTGAGTTTTTAAAAATTTTGTGAAACATAAGGCAGGATTTTTTGTTTTTAATTTGGTCATTGATATAAAAGAATTACATTTATGAGGGAAAAAAATAACCATGGCTGAAATATCAGATGACTAAAGGAGACAAACAGTTACGTATATAAGCCTTATTATCATGCTGTGCAAATAGCAACATGAACAAATGAGTTTATTTGGTGGGCAGAACATCAAGACAATTGAAGTTTTATTAAGTGTATTTTTCCAAAATGCTCATTATTTTTACTTCATGAAAATTTTATTTTGTCAAAACAAATTAATAGATAACATTTTAGTGATTATTAGCTGTAGAGTGGAACTTTATATGTGTTATCTCATTTAATACAGCAGCCTTTTGAGCTATAAGTATTATTATTTTCCACATTATATATGAAGAAACTAAAGCTTAGAATAGTCAAGTAAATCCCCCAAGGTGCTGTAAGTAATAACCAGTGGAGTGAGGATTTAAACTCCTCTGTTCGACTTCAGAGTCCACAACACTGCTCGCTCCATGACTTGCTTCACAACTTCTGCAATGGATATCATGTCCTTTTGAAAGTTTTATCACTTCTCTGACAGTTCCACCCACATTCCACGTCCCTGTTACCCTAGGGAAGATTGGGAGTGGGGATGGGACACCATAAACACCCTTTCCTGTCTCCAAAGGATAAACTTATGATATTAATCTTCCTCAAGCAGTTTATTGGACTGTGTTCTTGCCCAGTATCAGCAACTGCTTTAAAAGAAAAATGGGGTCCCCGAAGAGCAATTTGCAGTATTATTTAACAGTAGGAGAATAGAAAATGCAGTTTTCTTTGTTTGAGTTATGTGTACATGAGCCTAAAACTTCCACTCTCCCCATCAGAGTTTTTTTATTTAAGAACCAGCTGCTAGCTTTACCTCTTTTTACCTGCCGGATGCTTTCTGAATCACATTCAGCACTCAATTTTAGTGATCCCCATTAAAGTCCAGAGCCTAGGGAAATCATCCCGAATCTGTGTTCCCTAGCAACATCCCTGAGAGTAACAACAGCTGCTTAAACCATATGCCACTAGAAAGATGCTGTAGGGGAAATACACAGAAACTGATACTAAAAGCTTTAAATCTTGCAACTTCAAATACCATAGTTACCATGTTTGATTTTTTTTACCTTTAGTTGTACTAAAGTAAAGAGAAGAATACGTTTAAGTATCTAAAATGACAGGCTAGATGAGCTTAGCAATCAGTGTGATTTCTAGATATTTTCTTGGCGAGAGAAGCAGAGCTAGCCATGATTAAAATACCTTTGTTTATAATTGTGAGTCTCAAAATTTTAAATATGTATCAAAATTAAATTGTACATATGTTGTAATATGACATGACATATTTAAACATTAATTGAACTTAAAATTTCTTACAAATTTTTGTTGATATTTTTCATTTTTTCTGTTAATTATTTTATTTTCTCTGTTGTTTTGTCTTTTCCAGGACGTCATATAGTTAAAGTCATGTTATGTAGCTTTTTCAGTTTCCTTTACTTAGTAATATGTATTTAAGTTTTATGCCTGTCTTTTTATGGCTTGATAGCTCATTTCTTTTTGTACCAAATATTCCATTGTCTGGATGTACCACAGTTTATTCATTCACCTACTGAAGGACATCTTGGTTGCTTACAAGTTTTGGCAATTATGACTAGAGCTGCTATAAACATATATGTGCAGGTTTTTGTGTGGACGTAAGTTTTCAGCTTATTTGGGTAAATACCAAGGAGCATGAATGCTGGATTATGTGGTAAAAGCATGTTTAGTTTTCTAAGAAATGGCCATACTGTCTTCCAAAGTGACTGCCATTTTGCATTCACACATCCTTGCCTGCATTTAGTGTTATAGGTGTTTTGGATTTCAGTCATTCTAGTAGATATGCAGATATAGCTATCTCATTTTTGTTCTGATTTGCGATTGCCTAATAGCATGTGATGTTGAGCATATTTTCATTTGTGTATTTGCTATCTGTATATCTTTTTGGTGACGCATCTCTTGAGGTCTTATGCTCATTTTTAAGGGGGTTATTTGTTTTCTTGTTGAGTTTTAAGAGTTCTTTGTATTTTTTGGATACCAGTCTTTTATCAAATATGTGTTTTGCAAAGATTTTCTCATGGTTTGTGGCTTGTCTTTTTATTATCTTAAGATTCTATAATAAACATAAGAATTTAATTACTACAGCTTAACCACTAATAGAGGAACTACTACCATTATTGTGCTTTGTGTTGTAGGGAGGAAAGGTTATCTTTTGTGGATTCTTTGCAAAAACAAATTTCCCCACATTTAAAAATCATTAATATGTTCCATTTCTTTGTATCTCCCATCCCTTTATAGCTTAAGCTCCTGTAAGTCTAAGCAGTTCACTTTAAAGAGGAAGTGAAAAATTATCTTGGACCATTTTTGTTTGTTTGGTTTCATCAAGTGACCTATTATAATGGCTATTATAGCCAGTAACTCAGTTAATGTACATGTGGATCATGCCTTTATAGATATTGAAAAAAATATCTTTGACATTCTTTGAAATTCTACTCAATTTTCAAATTCTTCCTACTAATTTTCATAATTTCTGGTCACCCACAGATTTTGTTTCTTGGTTTTGTTTTTGTTTTTATTAGTCCTTATTGTAAACAACTAATTAATACAAAACCGAATTTTAAGGTCAGGTTATGCTATGAAATTTAGTTAAAATCATTTTTTCTTCAAGCTTTTCGAAAATACACACACTTTATTAGTCAACTTGGGTTTATAAAACCAGAATATTTTGTTTGGAAAAAAGATCATGAAAGTAATTATTTATATTAGTTAAAAGTTCTTTCTGATTTTATTTTTCTCAATGAATTTATTTGCCTGGGAGAATTTGCTTATTTTAAAGCTGAGATCAAATCGGAAGTCTAGGCCATGAGTTTTCTATATATTTGTATGCGATGAAGTCCAATATTTGTAACAGGTAAATGTGGAGCTACTCTGGTTGGAGGTCATTTGGATGGAGGTGGAGGAGACTAGAGCACACTCTGTCCTGCCTTTTCCCCATTATCTCTGAGGAATCCATAGCTCTACATGTAGAGGAACTAGAAGATTAGTCTAAATTATGATTTTTGTTTAAAGAAACAAGAAAACCAAATAGTCATTATTGAGCTATTTATCATGGAGTTCTAGGTGTCTAATTTATAAGGTTTCTGAATTAGACTTCGGGGCCTATGTTACATTTTATTACAGTCTGCAACATAAATGTAGACTGGCAAGAATTAAACTAAAAGCCTGTTTCACAGCTGTTATGCATCTGGGAGTTTGCTTAAAAGGGGCTAGCTTAGCTTAGCCTGAGTTGTGATAAAAAGCAGGGTCTAGAGGCCTTTTAACTCAAGTCCTGCGCTCTGATCAGAGCTCTATTTAATACTGGCCCATAAGTCCACATAATTATAATTTGTAAGAGTCTTTAGGACACCAGTAACTTTTAAATCTCACCATGTGAAAAATTATTATGTCACCTGTGGACTTTAAAAGTAGTTAGCAAAGTGGGATAAAGGTGATAATCAAACCAAATATTTCTGAAACTTTCTCTGTCCAAGTTTTCTACGTATGATGTACTAGCTCTTCTTTTTAATATATTACTCCTCAGTATGCTTTAATGAGGAATGTTAATTCTGATAAATGAATACTCATGTCAGAGTTGCTGTACCACTGGGGTAGACAGGTTCCTTTTTAATGTAACCTTTTCACATTTTGGCTTTCTCCCAGGCTTGCAGATGGGTCAGGGGCTGTGGAGAGTGGCCAGAAACCAGCAGCTACAGCAGGAAGGCTACAGTGAGCAAGGCTACCTCAGCAGAGAGCAGAGCAGAAGGATGGCTGCCAGCAGCATTTCCAATACCAGTCATCGTAAACAAGTCCAAGGAGGCATTGATATATATCATCTCTTGAAGACAAGGAAATCTAAAGAACAGGAAGGATTCATTAATTTGGAAATGTTGCCTCCTGAGCTAAGCTTTACCATCTTGTCCTACCTGAATGCAACTGACCTCTGCTTGGCTTCATGTGTTTGGCAGGACCTCGCTAATGATGAACTTCTATGGCAAGGGTAAGTTCGACTCAGATGTCTCTATACATAATTATTTTAACTGTTCTTTTTATACTAGTTATATATGTATTATGAAGTATTTCTTTCAACTGGGGCTTGTATTTGAGTTGTTCTTTGTTAAAACATGGAAATACAAAAATACAATTATCATCGCAGTCAAATTTTATATTGGGGGAAAGAAGGACAGTATAAAAGAAAAGAATGAATTACAGTTAGACAAGGGGTTACCAGTCAAGATGTGTCAGTTGATTATAAATCAAAACTTATCAGTTTATTCTAAAAATTCAAGTTGTTAAGTGAGAATTTATAATCCAAAACTTAGTGTTCACAGCCCTGGTGTAGTTTGTACTTCCTTGATAAAAAATAGGCATACTTAAAAATAAATATTCTTCAGATCTTATTGTTTTCATTGGTGACAGATTGTGTAGATGTGTATTTACTCATTTATATATTTCTTTTTATCAGAGGTGCTTGTTAGCATAAACTTTGATTGGTAAATATTTTATCTACTTTTAATTTTTTTCTAACCACCATATAATCAATGAACTAGGCAAATACTAGAAAGCAAAATGATAATCTACTAGCTGAACTGACTGTAGATTATAGAAATTTTAGCAGCTATCATACCAGTTTAAATTTAAGCTATAAATCTAAGAATGTTTGGTGGAATATAATCTACTTTATGGAACCTACATTAATCCTTAAATAGCACATACACTTGAGTTGTGAAAATGTTACCAAACATAGGAGAATCATTGATTTTTAAGAAATGTTTACCAGAGCCCTGGCCGGTTTGGCTCAGCGGTTAGAGCGTCGGCCTGCGGTCCTGAGAGACCCGGGTTCGGTTCCCGCTAAGGGCATATACCTCGGTTGCAGTTTGTCCCCGGCCCTGGTCGGTCGTGCGGGTGGCAGCCACTCGATGTGTTCCTTTCACATTGATGTTTCTCTCTCTCCCTCTGTTCCTCTCTCTCCCTCCCACTCTACCTGAACAAAAAAAAAAAAGAGCCCTGGCCGGTTTGGCTCAGCGGTTAGAGCGTCGGCCTGCGGTCCGGAGAGACCCGGGTTCGGTTCCCGCTAAGGGCATGTACCTCGGTTGCAGTTTGTCCCCGGCCCTGGTCGGTCGTGCGGGTGGCAGCCACTCGATGTGTCCCTTCACGTCGATGTTTCTCTCTCTCTCTCTTCCTCTCTCTCCCTCCCACTCTACCTGAACAATAAATGTCCTCGGGTGAGGATTTAAAAAAAAAAAAAAAAAAAGAAAGAAAAAGAAATGTTTACCAGAGTTTGTCTCATTATTTTAAAAGGGACTTTATAATGATATAAAACATATCTAAAAACAAGTCTTTTTAAGATTTTAATTTCTAAATGAAAATCTAATTGAGAGAATTACTAAATTATCTAAATAGCCAGTCTTTAGTCAAAATGTATTACCAACAATGACATTCCTCACTCAGACTTCTTGATGCAACAGAATTACAGTAGTCATTATATAGTTCATTTCTCAACCTCTAAATAGATATGAATCATCAGTATCATCTTGTCATTCTTTCATTGTCTTGTCATGGTGAAGGTACTGTGGGAGTGGAAATTCTATTAATTATTAATGTTTAAAATAAACTATGGCTATTACTTTTTAATGACTTAGTATAAGAGGAAATGAAAATACTTTATAACTGGCTCATTTTACTTATAATCTCTTTTCTACATTTTAGTTTTGCCAGCAAACTTATGTTCTTATCTTTGAAGAAAGCCTTATTTTTAAGCTAATCTGAATTAACTCAGCTAGAATGTAGTTTTCATTTGGGATTTAAATCTGAATTGTTCATTTCTGGAAGAAATGTTTCCTTTTTATGTACCACATAATTATACCTATTTTTATGACACTTGGATTTTTCTTCTTACTGATAAATTGCTTCTTTTTTAAATTAAAGTCTGGCTTAGTTTTTATTTTAACTTTGGCTGTGTTGAATACTTACTAATGTTGGAAGGTTCTGTTACTTAGTAATAAATGTCAAAAGTTATGGGACTAGATTAAGAAGCTACTAAAATGTTGATAATTTTCTAAATAAGTTACTAAACTTACTGTTTTAAAATCATTTTTTTTATATAAATAATGCAAGGATATAAGAAGATAACCTCATATTACATTAAATATTTTACCCACTATGTTCATAATTTTTGATATTGTAGGCTGAGACAGTAACTTTTTTTTTGTTTTTCTGTCCATTGTGTGTATGTGAAAGAAGAAAGTTTGAGCCAAAAATCAATAATGAATATTATAAAGTGAAGCTATTTTAATGTTTATCTTTACAAGTAGATTTTGTTGTTGATAGTGATGATGATTTTTTGTTGAATTTATTAGGGCAACATTGTTTAATAAAATTATGTAGGTTTCAGGTAGACCGTTCTATAATACATCATCGGTATTTTGTGTGCAGATAGGTGTTTTTGAACACACAAAAATCATATCATTTTGAGACAGTTATTAAAAAGTTATCAAAGTACAATTTCCATATTCTCCATGTCTCTGGAGTAATGTGTTTATATTTTATAATCTGTGGTATATAGCCAGAATTTCTGGCATAGTAGTAAGATAAAACTTTAGTTTTCAAATAATAACCAGTAGCTAACCCTGTACAGAGTTGGAAACAACTATCCCCATCTGCAGAAATAATGAGTTTTAAAATATGAGCTGTTAGCATTTTGGGTTTTATTGAATTTTAAACAATCGTTTATCACTGTGATAGTAAAGAGCCAATGTTTTGAAGCATTATCTTATAAACAGCTATGCTCAATGTCACAGCTTTTGATGTATGTATTGAAGTTATAGCATTACAAACATTTCAGTCTGTAGTTTGCCTGTTAATATATATAGTTTAAAAAAATGAAGTTGTCCCTCTGCCCAGCAATCTCCCCACACCCCATTCAGTTTTATGTCACAACAGAGCACATATTTTATTTAATCCTGTTTAGCTTCTTGGGTAAGATTGCAAGCTCTGGAGTAAGACTCCTTGAGTTTAAATCCTGCCTCTACACAAATTTGCTGTGCAACCTTGGGTAACTTTATTTATCATATCTGTGTTTCTTTACCTGTAGCACTAACATTATAGGATTGTTGTAAAGATTAATTAAGTTGCCCTGGCCGGTTTGGCTTAGCGGTTAGAGTGTCAACCTATGGTCCAGAGAGGCCTGGATTTGGTTCCCGCTAAGTGCATGTACCTCAGTTGCAGTTTGTCCCTGGCCCTGGTTGGGTCATGCGGGAGGCAGCCACTCGATGTGTCCCTTTCACGTCTATGTTTCTTTCTCTCTCTTTCTCTCTCTCTCCCCCCCCCCCTCTCTCCCTCCCACTCTGTATGAACAAAAACTGGAATAATGTCCTTGGGTGAGGATAAAAAAAATAAAATAAAGATTAAGCAAGTTAATACTGTTACAGTGCTTCAGTTAGTGCCTGGCATTTAGATGGTAAATATTATTTATCATTATTATTAGTAGTTTATATTTAGCTTCAGAGAGTATTTATGAATATTATTAAACTTTGTAACTCACATTTACTAAGTGCTGTCTGAATTGCTAAATTGGAGGCATTTGTCAGTCATACTCTAGCAAATAAATTTAAAAAGTATAAAATTAAACATTTTAAACTTTAGTGGTATAAAATCTAATTTAATATTTTATATTACTGTTTTATCATGTTTATATACACTTCACTTGGGAAATTAAATATGGTAATGTTTTCTTGTTTGATTTTATCTTACCTTTATAGGTTGTGTAAATCCACTTGGGGTCACTGTTCCATATATAATAAGAACCCGCCTGTAGGATTTTCTTTTAGAAAATTATACATGCAGCTGGATGAAGGCAGCCTCACCTTTAATGCCAATCCAGATGAGGTAAGTGAAGAACTTGAATATTTGTAACAGTTGGACTTTATTACTTTCTTGCTGCAACTTTCCAATATAATAAACTTGCAAGTAAAAATCACAAGTCACTGCACATGCCTTTTCCATCACTGGGAAGCCCAGTATTTGAGTGGTTGCTCTTTTTTACCTTACCTTGTCACATTCTCATCTCTCTGGCTGCTCACTTTGTGTGGCAACTTCCATGACACATGCAATCTCCACTGGACCTGATTGAGATAGGACTGCATCATAAGTGGAGAGTATGAAATATGTTCATCAGAGTTTATCTGCAACCTTTTCTTCTTGCTTTGTTTATATTTAATAACAATGCTACTACTTTTATCAAATATAATCACAAAAGACATTGTTCTAGTTTGCAGCATATCAAAATGTTGTCTTTAAATCATGTCTTTAACAGTCTAATTTCATTTGATGTAGAAACTGCCTTTTGATTCTAAGATTGAATAATTTTATATTCATTATTTTTTTTTTTATAAGACAACAAACACAAACAGAAAAAAGGAAGAGTGGAAGAAGTGAGAATAACTGCTTAATAATTACTTAATTTTTTTCTTTACATAATACATAAGAATGATCAAAAGATAATTCTTTCACGGACTTTTTCCCCTTATTCTTATTTTAATATGTCCTGGAAAGGTTCAAATTTTTAAATGGATGTTTAAATATCTACTCGATTTATCTTAGAAATCTAATAGCAATTATACAACACTCAGAACTACTACTTCTGGATTTATTGTTTTCTGTGGAAAAAAACCTGGCAGTTATTTTAATTTACTTAATTTTTTAATATAAATATGTTTTTATTGATTTTAGAGAAAGAGGAGGGAAGAGGGGGAGAGAGATAGAAACATCCAAGAGAGAGAAACATCGATTGGCTACCTCCTGCACATCCCCCTCCCCAACACTGGGTATCCAGCCCAAAACCCAGGCATGTGCCCTGACCGGGTATCAAACCAGCAACCTTCTGGTACATGGGATGCCACTCAATCAACAGTCGCACTGGCCAGGAAATTTACTTAATTTTTAAAACCCAACTTTTTGTTTTATTTGTTGTAGAGGTATTAAAGGCCACTTAAATCATCCAGTCAAATATTTTTAAAATATCTTAACTTTTGCTGTTATAATTAGAGAAATGTTTCTCATATAAAATATTTAAATATTAAACAGAAATATTAATTCTATAAATATGCATATAGTACAAATTACATCATATCTTTAAAGTTAAATGGGTTTTTGCTTATTATATATTATTTCTTTCTTTGTTAATTTTTTTTGTACATGAATGAAAAATAAAATATAACACCTCTACAAAGATGTGCTAATGCATACACATTATCAGTTAAGTCTTAGCCCCACAAATACAACAAATATAACAAAGTGTGTATGTGTGTGTGTGTGTGTGTGTGTGTTGCGCGCGTGCGCCACTGAGCCACACTGGCTGGGCAGTAGGATGATTTATAATAAGATAAAGGTTGAAGTTCAAATTATACTTCTGAAACCAGTACAACTTGTAACTTGTCACTTTCTTGTAAATTTTTTCTGATGCCTTTATCATAAAATACACTTTTTGAAAAATGAAATTGAAGTTCTCCTCTATCTAAATATATAGCAACAGTAAGCATGTAATCTCTTTGATCTTGCGCTGTGACATACCTGCTCTGTAAAAGAGATTTAATTAACTACACTTATGTTTTGAAAAATGGCATGGTTTCAGGATTTCATTATTTTTGTTTATTAGAATTAGGCCTTACCTGATGCTAATTAAAACAGTTCATATGATGAACTTTATAATAAGATATATTTCGCATCAGCCTCTTGAGATAATTGAATGATGATTACTGGAAAAGAACTGAAGCAGAATAATACAGTATTTTACTCTAGATCCATAAGAATCAGGAAAGGAGACTATTACAAGCCCAGTCTTATGCTTAGTTTATCAAGGCTTACTGGCTCCTGTCATGAATTATGCTGAGGTTGAGTAAAACTGTCATCTTCAATTCATATCACTTGCAAATGTTACATTCTAAGGAAAATGTAATGTGGTAAGTACTGAGTTGTAGATTTACAAAAGTCAGAAAAGTTAGTTGGATGTAAATGTTGATATTGATTATGGTAAGTAGTTATTCCTTGCTATAGGAGAACCAATTTTTTAAACAAATTATAAAGTCATTTTTTTTAAGCAAAGATGAAAATGTAGATAGGTCCTCATATACTAGAATGTGATGGATATTTTTAAATATCTAAATTGGAAAAACTCAATGTCAAAATGTATTTCCATCTTTACAGCTACATATGTCAGACTAGAGAGCTCTTATTATACCTCCTCTAGAGTATTGAGAGGGAGGGGGCAGAGAAAAGAGGTAAAATTGAAGTCCTCTTTTTATCTGACAGAAATTTAAAGATTTTTAAGTCAAATGTTTGCTAAGAGAGGGATTAAAGTTATTAAGTAATATTTTTAGACCTTCAGAATTACTTCTCCATCCTACCTCCCATTATTATTGAGAGTTGGCTGTATTTTCTTTTTCTTTACTCCTTGGCCTGATTTAAAGCTATCCTGGAGCATTCCGGAATTACTGAACTCCCTGTTTCGAAAGGGGCACATAGTGCTGCTGGGAGGCATAGAGCTGAACCTCCAAGTGACCTGTGTTTCCAGAATTCAATTCTGTGCTTTTATGAACTTCAGTAACCCAGCAGGTGTTGCCTAACAGCAAAATAGAATTCTGCCTTTACCAGAAGGTACTTAGGGTATAAATAGGCAAAGAAGGATATTGAAATAGACTTATAGGTGCAGTAAAATGAGGGGAAGTATTTTAATGGCTATATTCCATACTTTCTTTCATTGACTAATATAAATAATCAATGTGAATTTGCTTATTTATCCAAGTCAGGCCTTCACAATTGAAATTATGTAATTGAAAGAGATAGCCTAATGATGTTTTTATGTAGAACTTCTCTGTATGAGTCATACTTTAGCCAAGTCTTAGAATGACTCTTGCCACATTTTCTGAGTGCTAGAAATTAGTAAGTACTTTTTGGAGGTTGATTTTTTTTTTTTTCTCCTCACTGGAGCACTGTCATCAGATGTGTTATTTTGGCTTAGTTTAAGCCCAAGAAATAAATTAATTTTGATGCTATGTTTAAATGTAAGTAGTGTTTATTGTAAGTGCCCAAGGTAAACTGTATATAATTGTTCAGTATTGTAAAAAACAAACAAAAAAAAGTCTACTTTTCCATAATTTCTAGTTCTCTACTTAACATTTGATAGCAAACATCATTAAAATATTATCAAAATAAGAATACTTACAGCCACAGGGAACAAGATTCTCCAAAGGACATCGTTCATGTCACGGATATGGGTAACCAAACTCCACAGCAGCTGCTGGCAGTGGCTCATGGGGTGGGGGAGAAGATCTGCACAGTTTGTGGTACGATTTATCTAGCACGCTGTTGTTCTATGCATGCCAGTGTGGTCTCAGCTGTATGTAGTCTTGCTCTTGTGCATGAGCTTGTGTACTGTGTGGCAGGTGACCACATTCTAGTAAAGGAATGTGCTACAAACCATCTGTTTATATTAGGCTGTATTTCCCCTGCATGTACAAGTTAACGTGTGTTGATTTTATTCCACCAGCACTATGGTAATAAAGTAATTCTACTTATCATCCAGTAAGGTATTCTTGTGCTCCATTTAGTCGTGAACATTTCCTTGACCTAGTTATTTTAAAATTTAGAGTCTGAGAAATGGATGGTGAACATGTTTTTTTGTTGTTGTTGTTGTTTTTTACTTTATTATAAGTTTATTTTTGTGTGTGTGAATATATTTTTCTAAAGTTTTTAAACATAATATCCTCATTGTGGTCAGGTAAAAGAAGTCTTTATTTTTAACTATATAAGCATATGTTTCCTGTGTTCATACAAAAAGACCCACATGCATACAGTTTTATGCATTTTATTAGACTATCTGGGATAGAATCTGTTATGAGAAATATTTTAAATTTGACCTATGCATCTGTTTTAAATATGCCTTTTGTTGATTTTGAGAGAGACAAAATATCAAAGTGAGAGAGAGAGACATCAGTTGGCTGCCTCCTGGAAGCACCCCATTGTGGATCGAGCCCACAACCTGGGCATGTGCCGTGACCGGGAATCAAACCAGGACCTCTCAGTCCGTGGGACGATGCTCAATCCACTGAGCCAACACCGGCTGGGCCTGTGCATGTGTTTTAGATGGAAATGCTTAAGCAAATTACTTTTAAGATAATGTATTCTTTTTGTTATTGTATCAGCTAAAATATGAACAGGAAATTTGTAGGAGTTCTCCATTGTAGAAAGAAACACAGGTGTTTATACTCAATTCTTATGAAGTAATTTTAATGAATTCCTTATAAATAATGTCTCACAAATGAAATCTTGCTTATTTTTTTTTGCTCCAATATGCAGCAGCAAAATGTTCATTACTGTTACCTCATAGCATAGCAAAAGTGATGAAAAATAACTTTTATTTTTATTGCTAGAGATAGGAAACCCTGATTGGTATCATCAGAATTTATAGATAAGCATTTCCCAAATGTATTCTTTAGCAGTAAGGTGAAGATATACTTTGAACAATGCCTGAGCATACAGAAAGAGAGGTGAATGAAAATTCCTAAATTTTTAGCTTATGTTATACACTGAAATATATCTAGGAATAATTCATCCCCAGTGCCCTTCACTTTGCTGCTCCACTCGGCTGGTACCACATTTTACAGTGTGCTACCTGCAGTACCCACTTTTCCCTTTATGTATCAGTTAGGGTGTTTGGAACTTGAAGGAGCAGAGAACCTAACTAATAATGGCTTAAACCATATACATTATTTACTTCAAATGACACCCAGAGGTGGGTATCCCAGAGTTAATTCAGTTGTACAGTGATCTCTTCATGGACCCTCAGCATTGGACGTTTGCCCTTTCTTGACAACAAGATGGCTACCACT